AGCACATGCAGCCCCGGCACTGATGAGGTACTCCTGGCCACCGCACACCACAACACACGGCAGTGAACGCCACACAACGCAAACACCGCCTAGGAAACTGAGGCCAGAGAAGTATCTATCCCGGTTGACATTAGCTTACGAACTGAAGCTTGGCAGCCGGCGCGGTAGGTCCGGGGCTTCCCCCTCCCCTCTCGGGGCGGGGAGGGCTGCGCGGCAGTAAAGTGTGATGTTTGCTTGTTTGCTTATATCCTTGGGATTGTAGGGAGTTTCTACCTCTCTGTTTGGTTTTTTGTTTTAGTTTTTTACCATGTGGGGTTTGTTTTGTCATACCTACCTTTCTGGGTGCCTGGCCCCGGTCGATGGCAGATAAGGAAAACCCCAACCACAAGGGGGTTTTCCAGGGCCATTGCTCCCTGAAACCTTTCTGAAGGGGGCAGGTTCTGGCGCTAGTCCCTGGTAGGTCTGAACTCCTTAGCTAATGCCCCGGTCTAATATAACATACATTAGCTCGATAAGCTCCAGGGAGCCATAGCGGCTCGCCACAGAAAATACATATGTACAGATATGTGTATAAATATACACACACCACGTGTTTCCTAATAATTTACTACCAGGAGATAATATATATATATATTAAATAAATATATATTATATATTAGATATATATACAGAGCACCACTTGGTTTCCGAACCCCTTGGGGACGAGACCCGTCGGTTAACATGTAAGTTCGTATACGAGAAATAGAGGGGAAAAAATAAACTAGAAATGTAAAAAGAAATTGTTCTGAAAAATTTACGAAAAAACTCTAGGGGAAAACATCGACAGGTTCATAGCGTAAATGCGACCGTGTTTTGTTTGTACTCACCAATAAGTGAAGTCCTGGTCCGCTTTATAAAAGTCCTTAATTGTTCCTAACTGATTATTAAGACGACTGGCAAACATCCTCTAGATGTTTCCTGCCAGCCTGCAGGAACATCCTGCCAGCCTGCAGGAACATCCTGCCAGCCTGCAGGAACATCCTGCCAGCTTGCCTGCCTGCCAGCCTGCCAGCCAGCCTGCCAGCCTGCCTGCCAGCTTGCCTGCCTGCCAGCCTGCCTGCCAGCTTGCCTGCCAGCCTGCAGGCACATCCTGCCAGCCTGCAGGCACATCCTGCCAGCCTGCCTGCAGGCACATCCTGCCAGCCTGCCTGCAGGCACATCCTGCCAGCCTGCCTGCAGGAACATCCTGCCAGCCTGCCTGCCAGCTTGCCTGCCAGCCTGCAGGCACATCCTGCCTAAAATATACGATGATGTACTGTACATTTAAGAAACAAATCTGGGTCACAGGTCTGTGGAGTGTGGTTAGGCTTACGGAGTCAGCCGTCCCTCCCCCACCACCGACACACCTCCCCCTCTCCCCCCACCCCAAACCCATACACACACACACACACACACACACACACTCTCAAAGGTCACGTGGTTCATGGTTCACTTCAACACCCATATATCGCTTCCTGCCTGCCTGCCTGCCTCCTTCCCAGCCTGCAAGCCTGCCTGCCTGCCTGCCTCCTTCCCAGCCTGCAAGCCTGCCTGCCTGCCTGCCTCCTTCCCAGCCTGCAAGCCTGCCTGCCTGCCTCCTTCCCAGCCTGCATGCTTGCCTGCTTCCTTCCCAGCCTGCAAGCCTGCCTGCCTGCCTGCCTCCTTCCCAGCCTGCAAGCCTGCCTGCATGCCTGCCTGCCTCCTTCCCAGCCTGCAAGCCTGCCTGCCTGCCTCCTTCCCAGCCTGCCTGCCTCCTTCCCAGCCTGCAAGCCTGCCTGCCTGCCTGCCTCCTTCCCAGCCTGCAAGCCTGCCTGCCTGCCTGCCTCCATCCCAGCCTGCAAGCCTGCCTGCCTCCTTCCCAGCCTGCAAGCCTGCCTCCTTCCCTGCCTGCAAGCCTGCCTGCCTGCCTCCTTCCCAGCCTGCAAGCCTGCCTGCTTCCTTCCCAGCCTGCAAGCCTGCCTGCCTGCCTCCTTCCCAGCCTGCAAGCCTGCCTGCCTGCCTGCCTCCTCCCCAGCCTGCAAGCTTGCCTGCCTGCCTGCCTCCTTCCCAGCCTGCAAGCCTGCCTGCCTCCGTCCCAGCCTGCAAGCCTGCCTGCCTGCCTGCCTCCTTCCCAGCCTGCAAGCCTGCCTGCCTGCCTGCCTCCTTCCCAGCCTGCAAGCCTGCCTGCCTGCCTCCTTCCCAGCCTGCATGCTTGCCTGCTTCCTTCCCAGCCTGCAAGCCTGCCTGCCTGCCTGCCTCCTTCCCAGCCTGCAAGCCTGCCTGCCGGCCTGCATGCCTGCCTGCCTCCTTCCCAGCCTGCAAGCCTGCCTCCCTGCCTCCTTCCCAGCCTGCCTGCCTCCTTCCCAGCCTGCAAGCCTGCCTGCCTGCCTGCCTCCTTCCCAGCCTGCAAGCCTGCCTGCCTCCTTCCCAGCCTGCAAGCCTGCCTCCTTCCCAGCCTGCAAGCCTGCCTGCCTGCCTCCTTCCCAGCCTGCAAGCCTGCCTGCTTCCTTCCCAGCCTGCAAGCCTGCCTGCCTGCCTCCTTCCCAGCCTGCAAGCCTGCCTGCCTGCCTGCCTCCTCCCCAGCCTGCAAGCTTGCCTGCCTGCCTGCCTCCTTCCCAGCCTGCAAGCCTGCCTGCCTCCTTCCCAGCCTGCAAGCCTGCCTGCCTGCCTGCCTCCTTCCCAGCCTGCAAGCCTGCCTGCCTGCCTGCCTCCTTCCCAGCCTGCCTGCCTGCCTGCCTCCTTCCCAGCCTGCAAGCCTGCCTGCCTCCTTCCCAGCCTGCAAGCCTGCCTGCCTGCCTGCCTCCTTCCCAGCCTGCAATCCTGCCTGCCTGCCTGCCTCCTTCCCAGCCTGCAAGCCTGCCTGCCTCCTTCCCAGCCTGCAAGCCTGCCTGCCTGCCTGCCTCCTTCCCAGCCTGCAAGCCTGCCTGCCTGCCTGCCTCCTTCCCAGCCTGCAAGCCTGCAAGCCTGCCTGCCTGCCTGCCTCCTTCCCAGCCTGCAAGCCTACCTGCCTGCCTGCCTCCTTCCCAGCCTGCAAGCCTGCCTGCCTGCCTGCCTGCCTCCTTCCCAGCCTGCAAGCCTGCCTGCCTCCTTCCCAGCCTGCAAGCCTGCCTGCCTCCTTCCCAGCCTGCAAGCCTGCCTGCCTGCCTGCCTCCTTCCCAGCCTGCAAGCCTGCCTGCCTGCCTGCCTGCCTCCTCCCCAGCCTGCAAGCCTGCCTGCCTGCCTCCTTCCCAGCCTGCAAGCCTGCCTGCCTGCCTGCCTCCTTCCCAGCCTGCAAGCCTGCCTGCCTGCCTCCTTCCCAGCCTGCAAGCCTGCCTGCCTCCTTCCCAGCCTGCAAGCCTGCCTGCCTGCCTCCTTTCCAGCCTGCAAGCCTGCCTGCCTGCCTCCTTCCCAGCCTGCAAGCCTGCCTGCCTGCCTCCTTCCCAGCCTGCAAGCCTGCCTGCCTGCCTCCTTCCCAGCCTGCAAGCCTGCCTGCCTGCTTGCCTGCCTCCTTCCCAGCCTGCAAGCCTGCCTGCCTCCTTCCCAGCCTGCAAGCCTGCCTGCCTGCCATCATGCTAACGGGTAGTGTGTGTTAGGCTTATCTTCGGGAATGAGCCGGTCTCGCCCCCACCACCCGCCCCCCTACATCCCATACTCTCTTTTAAAGGTCACGCGGTTCAACCGCGTGACTACCACTCACTCCCAGCCTGCCAGCCTGCCTGCCTGCCTGCCTGCCTGCAAGCTAGCCTGCCTGCCTGCCTGTGCCTGCCTGCCTGCCTTTCCCTCCCTAATTCTCACTACTTCCGTCCCTTCCTGCCTACCTCCTAGCATCTCTCCCTACCTCCCCCTCCCTCTTAGCATCTCTCCCTCCCTCCTAGCATCTCTCTCTCCCTCCCACTCCCTCCTAGCATCTCTCTCTCCCTCCCACTCCCTCCTAGCATCTCTCTCTCCCTCCCTCCCTTTCTGACTAATTCTCTCCCCCTCTCTCATACTGCCTCCCACCTAAGCTCCCTCATCCATCCACCCACTGGTCAGCCATCACTGACGCAATGCGTGCATTTGGAGCCGACATGGTGCACAGATGTTTCTTGATTGTGCAGATATGTAAAACAAAAGCACAGAATGAACATTCCAGCCTTACGGCAATTCAAAATAATAGGAATAATAGGCCGTGAATCTGTGAAGTCACAGTGGGCAAACTGGACCATCTCCCACCCACCACAACAAGCCGGCGTGACGCTTGGCGGACCCCTTCCTACCCGAACTTTGTTCGGGTAGCATGACTCCCCAACCCCAATCGGGAAACTGGAAGTTTCGGATAACTAAAGTTCGGAAACCAAGTGGTGCTCTGTATATATACAGTACTGTATATATAAGCCTAAATCTTATATTATAAGCACCTGCATCTTATAATACTGTACAAGCCTAAATCTTATAACTGCATATAGCACACATTTTGCCTGTAAATACATACATGGTAAACACTCATTTGCTGTTGCTAAAAGTTTCATAGTTCCTAGTATGGCCGCCCTACACATCCAGGCACTCAATGGTTATGTGCCACACATGGTCCGCATCTTTTTACTAAGGCACCAGAAAGAAAGTGAGGACTCGGAAATTTTTTCAAGATGGTGAATGTCTCCTGGAGGCCTAAGGAAGTAACTGTGAGCCCTGTGTATGCGAGTTTTGAATATTACGATGTACCCACGAGCGCCAAAAGGCATCATATGTGCACCACGGGTCGAGCACCATAAAGTGTGAGGCCCAGTACAGGGGTTAAAGCACAAAGAAATTACAAGAACATGATGAATCTGTAAGAAAATATTGAGGCAGTATAATGAATTTGAATCTGGTTGCATTTTCTTGGGCATTCCAGGGATTCAGGTTTGATTACATTGTATTTTTATACAATGAATTAATTTAGGTTTGGTTACATCAATATTTTCTCAAGAGAATTGAAATTTCACTTAATCGTTCCCAAATAGTGTTGATACTCTTCCATAAAAATGAGGAAACGTGCAACTAACGTAAAGATAGCAATGAGAAGGTTGAGAAGCATAATGTTGCCAATGATGAGGTAAAAGAAGAGCATGAGGTTGACGGCCCAGGAGTATTCCTTAGGGTTCTCACACACACAATCCAGCCCTTGCTTGCAGGTCATCGTATTGTTGTTGCACACCTCACTCACAACACATGAATTTGGGTGACACACATTTCGGTCTTCACCTGAAATTAAAATACAGTATATTTAATATACTTCACCAAAATGTAGAACAGCATTTATCTGGAGCATAAATGAAAAAAACTGGAAATACAGGGCAACTGTAAACTAGCAAATTATATGGGTATTGTACTTACAGTACTCCCAAAATATTGAAATAAAAAAACCAGCGTTGAATGTAATGAAACACTATTTTCTCGGTGAGCCCCGGACTCTCCCTGGAGCTTATTGGGCTAATGTATGTTATATTAGACCAGGACATTAGCTATGGAGTTCAGACCTACCAGGAACCATGAGCCAAAACCTGGCCCCTTTAGAGAGGTTTCAGGGAGTGTAACGGTTCTATTGTTACGTAAAGTATGGTGACAATAAACACAGACACTAAGATACTATATATATATTTGGTCTAATATACAGAAGTACACAGGTGATACTTTGGTGTGAGTTGAGCGCACTGAGCGTCGGTACACTATCTCGCAAGTGTCTGCTCTAGACCACACTTGAAAGTAGACTCTGGTTAATGTTTGCTATTCTGCTGCTTATATGCTCGGGCAACACCTCACCGTGTTGCCCGGGCAACGCCTCACCTCATTCATCTCCAAAGGTTGAAGGGAATATTAACAATGCATTCGGAGCGAGTATATTATTGGGATAATCTACTCGCTACAGGAGCAATGGCCCTGGACCCCCCCCCCCCTGTGGATGGGGGTTTTCCTTATCTGCCATCGACTATGGTTAGGCACCCAGTAAGGTAGGCATAACAAAACAAACCCCACATGGTAAGAAACTAACAACAAAAACCGAATAGAGAGGTAGAACTCCCTACAATTTCAATGAAACAAGCAAATAAGCAAACGTAACACACTACTGCCAAGCCGCTCGTCTGCGCTGCCCTCCCCTCCCCGAGAGGGGGAATGGGTCCCCGATCCTATGCCAGAAGCATAGCACTCCAGTTCGGAAGCTAAGCTTCAATAAATGCGAAAAAAATGCTGACCGGTGGGAGGGAGGGTTGCCAGGGAGCCTCTGGGGCTCACCCAGAAAATGGTGTTTCATTACATCCAACGCTGGTTTTCTTAGGGGAGTCCCTAAGGCTTCCTGGAGCTACATACCCAAGGAGAAGGAAAAGAAAGGGCTGATCACAAGGCTGGGAGGCGGCCACCACAAACTCCTCAACGCGATGTCGAGGCAACAGGCTGCAAACTGCGACCCAAAGCAACACAAGAACGCCCAGGAGCAGACATGACCACAAAATAACAGGCGACCAGGACCCTGTGCGACCTCCAAATCAATGCACCCGAATATGAGCCAAAGACATGTTACCAAACACGGCAGTCAAAGCTGCAAAAGGCCGAACACCACGGGCGCGAGGATAGACCACAGGCTGGTTAGACTGAATAACCCTGTGGACGACCTGGGAGACCCGAGCCCTGGAACAGGGAACGAGGGAAACCGGATCAACCCAAAGCACATCCCCAGCCACCACAACCGAGGCACGCAGGTAACAGCGAAGAGCCACAACCGACAACACATGATGCACCCGTCTCGGCCTTTGCCAAAGAAAACGGAAAAGGCTGCAAATGTACAAACCTACCACCAGTACCAAAAGAGCAGAAACCCCTGCGCCGGAGGAGAGCCGGAAGCTCCCCAATCCGACCCCCAGAGGCCAATGCCAACAAAACCAGGGCCGTCGAAAAACAATCTTAAACCGAAGGGGCTACCAGAAACCGAGAAGAGGAAAGATAAGAGAGCACCCTGACCAAGGACCAGGATGGCGGTGAAACAAAGCACGAGAAAGCGAACGGAATGGGGCGGATGTGATGTCCACCCCGAAAGCAAGCTGGAGTGGCTCCGCCAGCGCCGCAGAACATGAGGCGACGGTAAGAAGCATCAAAGGTCGGTCCTGAAAAACCAAGAATGGACAAGACAACCCGATGCAAAGAGGAAGACAACCTACGAAGACCAAGAAAATGGCGAAAAGAAATGCAAGGAAACTTCATACGGTCGCCAAGACGAAGCTTGCAGATGGGACACCATCAACGAAGCCACCTGATCACCATAGAGATGGTGATACACCCGTGTGAAAAGACCAGACATGAAGAGCCAAGGAGAAGGCCGAACCAGCCACATACTGGACTGGTCCGATATGCCGAAAGAGGCAAAGCCGCAGGAAACGCCCTAGATTCGGATACCATTCAAGCAGCGTCTGAAAACAAAGCTGGACCGACCACCAAAGGGCCACAAGGATTACCTCTCCCTGGGCTGGGAAGGGCTCCAACCGAGCCAGAACCCGAAGCAACAGCTGAACTGGGGGAAGAGGTACAGGTAACTCCACCTTGACCAGTCCTGCCGAAAGGCATCCACTGCAAACGCCTCACAGGCGGGGAAGGGCGCCACATAGAATGGGAGACGCTGAGACCACGCCGATGCGAAGATGTCCATGTCCGGGAGTCCGTACGTCTGGCAGAGCCAAGGAACGAATCAGCGAAGACCAGCCAATCCGTGAACAGAGGAATGAACCGAGACAGGCGGTCTGCCAGGATGTTGGACACTCCCCAGACATGAACCGCACGGAGAGCCAAACTCCGAGAACCCCATAGATGAGACACTCGAAGGGACCAACCCCAAGGAGGTAAGGACCGAAGAGAATCCCCTGTGGTTCCGCAATGAACCACCGGAGAACAGTTCGAATGGAGCCGGATGGTAGAGCCCCGAGTGAACCAAACCCTACGAAACGCAAACCAGACAGCTATGAACTCCCGAACCATGCTGTGAGCCCGAAGGAAGGATGGACCCCACTGTCCACAGCCGGCCTGGTGAGCACCGGTCACAAAGCCCCAGCCGAGAGACGACCCGTCCGTGAACACATTGAGCAAAGGCTCGGGGAGGCGCCAGGGCACGGAACCCCAAAACCCCCGAAGAGGAAGCCTGCGACACAGCACCGACACAAGGTCCCAAGAGGATGAACCCAACAATTGTGAGAGAGGTGGAAAGGGCGTCCCCCGAAGGAACCAAAACAGAAACCAAAGCCAAACCCGACCCGGTAGGTAGACCAGCACAGAGAAGTTCAGACTCCCACACAACCGCTCGAGCAACCACCGATTGACCAAGGACTCCCCCCCCTCAGAAACAGCCGAAGGCGGGACCGCAGCCACAGCAATGCCTCTGGAGGGAGAGACAAAGAAGCGGTCCAAGAGTCTCAAATAAGACCCAGCCATGCCCGAACCCGGGAAGGCAGCAGATGGAATGTCCTCCAGTTCACCAGGAACCCGAACCCGGCAATCTGGAAAGAACCACACCTCTGGCGAGCAGACAAGCAGACCGACTGGGAGCACACACCAGCCAATCATCGAGGTAGGCCAAAACCGAATCCCAAGCAGACACAGACAGGTCACCAAGATCCGGTAAAGATGCGTAAATACACAAGGTGCCAAGAACAAACTAGAGAAGGCAACAAAAGCGGCAAGCCTTAAGCCCCACCACCAACTGTGCCAGTCCCGAAACCCTGGAGAGGAACGTGCAAAGAAGTGATCCAGAGGTCCGGCGACACCAAAAAGGCACCCTGCCTGAACAGAAGCCGGACTGGAGACAACAGTCCTCCGAAGAAGGGCAAAGAATCCAGGGCTCATACTGAACAAGTCCAAAAGAACCACAGACCTGCAAAGTCCCGTGTCGGCATAAGAAACATAGCTGGAACAACCGTGGACATCTGCAAGAGAAAACTAGATAGTTTCCTTCAAGTTGACAGGACGAACCGCAGGGGAGAAGCCCACCCTGCCAGCCCTGAACCCCCAAAGGGAGAAGAGCCAGCCAATGTCACCAGAGGCCGGAAGACAACCAAAAAACCAGCGTTGAATGTAATGAAACGCCATTTTCTGGGTGAGACCCGGAGGCTCCCCGGAGCTTTACCGGCTGATATGCTAATGTCAGACTTTGGCATCAGTCATGTGTATGGAGTTCTAGGGCCTACCGGGGACCACGAGCCAGAACCTGGCCCCCTCAGAGAGGCAAGGGGAGCAATGGCCTATAGAAACCCCCGTGTGGTTGGAAGCATTCTATGTCTGCCATCGACCGGGTCAAGCATCCAGAAAGGTAAGCATTCCAAAACAAACCCCTATTCTGGTGAAAATTGCTACCTAAGCCGAACTAGTGAATAGAACTCTTCAACAGAAAACACGGAAACTAGTATGACGTCATACGTCACCGCGCCGCTGTCTGCGCAGCTCCCCCCTCCCCGGGAGGGGGAAGGGGGAGCCCCAGACCTCCCACGCCGGCTATCCACCCATCAGTTCTGAGGCTGGATGTCAAAACACGCGAAAAACGCCGACCGGAGGGAGGGAGGGTTGCCGGGGAGCCTCCGGGTCTCACCCAGAAAATGGCGTTTCATTACATTCAACGCTGGTTTTCTGGGGGGAGCCCCGTCGGCTCCCCGGAGCTAACTACCCACAGAGGAAGGTCAAAGGGACAAAACCGGGAGGCGGACACCACGCACCCCCAAGGAGGCGAGACAACCGGCAGCAAACGCCAACCCAAGGCGCCACAGCCCCGAAAATCCCGGGAACAACACGAGAACCACGAGCAGCAAGGCCCCTGCACGAACACCAAAAATCCATGCCCGAAAGACTGCAAGGCCACGTCGCCCAGACGGCAGCGAGAGCAGCGAAGCCACGAACGCCACAGGCATAAGGGAAGAACACAGGCAGCTTAGCCACAAGAACACGGCTGACCACCCGGGACACCATCACCCGCGAACCGGGAAGAACAGAACCGGATCAACGCAAAACGCGCTCCGGACCCAAACGCCGTGGCACGCAAACAACAGCAGAGGGCCGCCACTGAACACAAAAACGACACACCCCCGGCCCGACCAACAAAGCACCAACAAACCCTGGACCCCTCCAGAATGCAGCAGCCCCACCCCGCGCCAGAAAAGATGGAGACTGCTGCCATCAAACAACGAAAACGCTAAAACCGAAGGAGCAAGAAAACACAGCGAACCGACCCCCAG